GACAAGCCAACGAATCCCTTGTCGAGAAGGCTAGCTGATCAACTCAGTACCCGACAACCGTGCATTAACTCCCAACAACAGTTCTTGTTCCTGCGATGTGTCCCGACACGTTAACTATCAAGCTTTGCTCACTCACATCATCTCACATCTGGTTCCTGATGACCCAGGCCTGTCTATTCGACGATGGAGTACATGTCTTCCATCGGCTTCTTCGTGGCCGTGGCCATCTATCTGCTGGGCCTTGGCGTTATCACCTTCTGGAGCCTCGGCCAGAGCGCCACTTGCGCAATCTTGAGCATATTGCCTTTGGTGGCGAGGGCAATGATTCGACAGTTGTGGTATCAAGCTGTGAGGGTGATTACTATGTCAATCAGTGCTAGTATCGTTCATGTTATTGTTCCTGCCGTCGCGGCTGCTGTTGCTGTTGCTGTTGCTGGTGTTGTTGCTGCGGTTGCTGCTGTTGTTGCTGTTCTTGTTCTTGTTGGTGGTGGTGGTGGTGGTGGTGGTGGTGGTGGTGGTGGTGGTGGTGGTGGCGGTGGCGGTGGCGGTGGCGGAGGCGGTGGTGGTGGTGGTGCTGCTGCTGCTAGTACTGGTGCTGCTGGTGCTGGTGATGCTGGAAGTGGTGCTGGTGCTGCTGCTGGTTGGTTTGATTGATTGATTAAGTGACTGAGTGTGTGAGTGGCTGATTGACCGATTGATTCATTGATCGATTGATCCTTTGATCGGTTGAGAGAGTGAGTGATTGAGTGGTTGATTGGTTTGGATTGGACTCTCATAGGTCCTGAGGTTCCTTGATGGTAATGATTGGTATTGCTTGTCCTTTGGCAATTCTAGTCGTGCCCTGGGCCAGCCGCCATTTCTTCGGCTAGGCTGCGAGACGGCTACACACTGAATATCGAAACCCGCAGGGAACTCTGTCTTTTCCCGAGCCCAAAAGCTCCGGTGTCTCTCAGGTACATGAATCCCAAGTACCAGCTGCCCTCACCAACCTTTGCCAGCTTCCTGCTCCAAAGCCCCTGGGCCATGAGCACAGCTGTTACTCCCTAAAGTTGCGAGAGCGTACAGGTCCCTTCTGTAGGTCCTACACTCGCGACCCGAGTGCTTTGGTTCAGAGCGTTCAGTTGGGTTTGTATCAGGCTTTTGGGTGACGGTATGAGGCGACCTCAGGAACATTGGCGTGAGTACATTGGGGTTTCCCTGTTCGGGAGCCATTACGTCAATGCACGGATCAGGCGCCATGCGGTTTCCTGCTTGTGTGCATGCTTGCTGTGGTCCCACAGGGTTAGAGACTAGAGTGGGAGCGTTTCTCCGAGAAGCCCACAGAGCTCGAGAACAGAGATTCCGGGAACGAGGGTAGGCAAAAAGTGCATGCGGTCGCTACCAAGCTGTAGGTTGCCACAAATTGTGCATGCAAATTTTCAAGAACTCGAAGTTCCTCTGGCGTAGATGGTGGTGGCGGTGCCACTGTTGCCAATTTTCGAATGTGCTTCTTCCAAACAAACGACGCAACCTAAACCGAGCGCTTCTACAACCTCAAGTAACACTGAATAAAAGTAATCTCAACACACTTCTTATCCAGATATCCTCTGCATAGCTACCGACCTCGTGGATCGGCTAGGCTACCTCTGCAGCTGGTGCCTGAAGGCAGGCCGGTGTGGAGGGATGCTACTCCTCAAAAGCATGCGAGTTTACATATCTGGGCTGAAGAATGCATCCTAAACTGGGAGCGTCGAAACTGGCATCCGCGGTACAGTGACCCGGGACCGGCAGAAATGGGCACAGGATTTCTTCTGGGCACAAGAGCGGTTTTGGCCGGCAATATTCACAGACCTCATCACAGCATCTCGCCTGCAGACCAGCCATTGAAATCCAGCCGACTTTGATGTGCCTTAGAAGGTAGGATCGACTGAGACAGTGATTTCCTTTGGCGAAGGCCAGGCTGTTGCGTCGTTGTGAGTCACCAACAGGGACTGCATAACCACAAACAGTTCGATCCTTAAACTGTCCAAAGAGGACCCCCGACATCGAGAAACCCCGGTAGGTCTCGCAGAATCTTGCTCGCACAGCCACCACCAGGTGCCCATGCTGATCGTCAACGCTCGGCTTGAAAGCGGTGGGTGGCACAAAATTCGTCGCAACAGCTGGTCCTGGGCTGTCTGGGCTATAGCGAGCGCTGTCTGGATCACCGGTGAGCAACTGGGCGGCACGCCTTTTTGACTGTACTTGCAGCAGCGATTGCCGCACTCCTTGCGGTGGCAAGAGCGATTTCGGTTGCACAAGAAGCCTGTTCGAGGCTCAAGTTTCCCGGGGTAGCGATCTTCAACTATGTCTCCGCCGCACTGCTGTTTACATCCTTCGTCATGCTGGCTAGCAGTTACGAGCACTACAAGGAGCGCCTGTTGTCGAGGCCACTGCATGTCATATCTGCATCATGTCTTGTAGGCTGCGGAGCTTCGGAAATCTTCTTCAATGTGTGAGACCGACAGCAGCGATAGCACTGATTACACCTCGGATGAAAGCAAAGCTTGACTCCTGTGTGCCTTCAAGTCTGCTAGAAGCTAGACTTCAGAAACGATGACCTGCTTGTGATTCTGGCTAGGCACCGTAGTGACTAGTAGTGTCGCACATGTACCTGTGTCTCCCCTGTGCTGAGATGTCAGGAAAATAGGAACGGCTTTTGGCTTGAGTGGATCTGCGAATGCCTTACCAATAGACATCAGACTGAAGGGAGGGGATCTTAATATGGTCTGCGGGATTCGTCGAACCTACTTCTGCAGACCTTGCCAGGCTTGTCCGAGAGTGAGTGTCAAAAAATATGGTCTGCGGTAGCCCTTTCAATGTACCAACATATGACCTTGCGCATTCCGACAAGCTGCGTGCCTCGAGAACTTGGAGTTAGATAGGAGACCACATGAAACAGCAATTTGAACAAGCGTACGAGAGGACCTGGGGCCTTCACACCCGTATTTCTGCAGCTCCCAGCAAGCTTGAAATGAACACGGGATAGCGTGCTCACACTGCGCACCTTCAGTTGGACTCTGCATTTACAGGGGGTGGAGCATGCTGTCAATATAGAGACACTCTGTGCTTTGTTGTATTCCGCTCCCGGCTTTAGTTGAGCCCAATGCTGACTGGATTGACTCCGCAGCCTTCTTTCGGATTCGAAGAGGTGAGGAAGCTCGCATGTTCTGTAGTGCTAACGGGTTAGTCACAGCTGTCCAGGCCCGGGCAGGGGGCAAGATGAGAAAGCCCTGTCTTCAGACTATTTCAGACTTCCTCCCATGTTGACACCACAGTCCAACTGAGGACTCTAGGGGTTCGAACGACAGTTCCGACAGGAAGGGAACTAGGAACATGGAGGAAGCATTGCAGATGATTACCACAGCCTCTGGCGAGCTCCTGAGCTCAGGTGTTTCCCAGGTTAGCATGTAGCACCCGCAGTTTGCTCGGCACTGAGGTGTCGTGTACGACAGCCTGCAGTCCGTATTGAGCTTCGTGTCCGAAGGCTGCAGCCTTTGCCAGGCCAGCGGGAGTGCAACGGGCTGGCCTGTTCCAGCTCTGCAGTGAATCCTGCCCTGTACCTTCAGGTTCCCGGCCATGCTTGGGAGGAGGCTGAGGAGGTTGCGTTCACCGAAAGCCGCCGGTTTCGCTTACGATCAGATGTCCAGGTCCCTGGGCGACCACTTGAACTGCTAACCGCTTGTTTGCTGCATCTCTGGAGCTCCGGTCTTTCCACCTTCTCCGGCTCTTAAGTGGATTTTTCCATTGCCGTTATTTGCACAGTCGGACTGCAGCACCACGAAAAACAACTATCATAGCCTTTGTTTGCTTAAAACTGTAGGGATTACTGTTGCCATGACCAGCATGATAACCAGTGTGACAAGTATGACACCGTGGCTGCTGCTTCTGCTGCTACGACGACGACTACTGCTACCAAGTTCTAATTGGAGTAACAGTAATAAAGCTGAAAACAATAATAGTAGAAATAATCATATCCAGAGTAGAACAGGATATACAACAATAAGACTAGTAGCCGTAGTGTTATTATGTAAGTCCTTAAACCCCTGGAGACCTCCCTCCTGTCCTCTCCCCGCGCAAAAACAGCAAGATTCCGAGGTTGAGCCAATGAATACCCTAGTATATGCCGGCATGCCCCAAAACGGTCGCCAAGCTCATTGAAAGCCAGCAGGACGTAGCAGCAAGCTCCCTGGAAGATTTGGGCCCGGAGCTCCCGGGCTGATTGGAGACAGTCTCCAACATGACTTCAGTTGGTGATGCTTTCGCATCTTGCGCCGGACGTCTCATCGGGGCTTTCTGTAAATCAAGAGGTTGCTGAAGTCATATTGGAAAGGAAGTCCTACCCGGTCTGTGCACAACATGTCCGCAAAGTGCCCTTGCTGTTTCAATCCAGTTAACCTGTTTGCAAGGTTGATGGGTGGCATAGGCAGCTATCTTGGAGCTGCTCGGGCACATAAACACCGCAGCATCCAGGATGTGTGCCAGTTCATGATGGAACTTGCAGCGCACGCACAGAAAAGTTCACGTTTCATCGGATTTTTGTCGTCAGGTCTTGCCGTTTTGCCAGTACCGCACGGCGTGCAGAGTGCACGCAGCGCCGAAGGACTGTTGCGACTTGCAGGGTGCTTCAAGTCACTAGTCTTGAAGTGCAAACCACACTTGTCAGGAACTTGTGGCCCATCTTGTTGGCCTTGTGCAGCCGCAGAGGCCCAAGGCTTGGCATTTTTCGTGGCCGTTCCGGTCATCCGCTGTCAGGATGGACGTCTACATGTTCACATTGGGGCAGCTTTGCCACCCCGACGACCCGAAGCAACGCCTTCTTCACAGTGACTTTCAAACTCGTGAGGGTTACAGAGGTCAGGCTGACTTAGCGTGGTCCGATTCGCCTTGTAGTGACATGAAGATTCCGTTTGAGTTTTGCATTTGTGCGCCTGGAAGGCCTGGAATGCTTGTTTTCGAAGAAGCTGTCGTACTGGTGGAGCATGAACCCAGCCGCTTATGTGGATGTACTGTCAAGCTTGCGGAAGCACCGCGCTGCAAGCCCAGGGCTGCGGTATTTGATTAACGAGCTTGCCGGCAAGCTCTTGTGCCACGGGCCAGACAGGCGGGCTCGACACTTTCTCATCCGAGATGTTTTGGAGATGCTCAGATCAGCTGATCTCGGCGACCGGCTCCATGCCATTAAGACCCTAAGGCGCTCTACGGCCGACTTGGGCAGGTTTACGAGCAAGTGCAAGGCAGCTTTAGGGGCAATATTGGTTCAGAAGCCGAAAAGGAGAATGCTGCATGTCTCTGCCACGTTGGCCGTCGAAAAGCTGGACGAGCTGTCCTGTCGCGCCTACTTCAGCAGGCAACAGCAATTTCGTTAGACGGGACGTTATAGAAGAGCACCGAGAGCATGTACTAGCTTGGTCACATCGACCTGATGGTCCGATTGACGACAAGCGCTGAACAGATGGATCCGACACTGCCTTGGTTCATCTTGCTGCATCTGTGCTGGATCTGGAAGCTCCCAGCATCTGCATGCCGATCCTGCGCATGGACTCCGATGATGTGGCGACGACGCAAAAAGGTGTGCCCAGGGGCCATTAGTGAGATCATGGCAGGAGGCCTCCTGTGCAGCATCGCACGGTGCTGCCTCTTTGGCTGTGTGTTCAAAGTCCCACCGATGACAGTTATGCTCCCGGCTTCAATTGTAGCGGAATGTCGGGCTTGCATGGTGCAGTGCTTCACATGAAGAAGAGAACTGTAATCTTCTCCAGTTTTGCGGAGCTTTGGAAAGCTATTACAAGAGGGGCTGGTGCAGCTTACCTGTGTGGCCGCATCAAAGGGTCCGAATGTTGTGCATGGAGCCCAAGTTATGTGGATCTCGGGCGTAGCCTCCAAGATCAACAGCACGGTATGATCTCGGTGTGTAGCTTCCAAGAATAACACGCAGACTGTGGGTCTTTAGTGGCTTCTTGGTTTAATTGCCGAGCCTTTTTGAGGATTCGGTGAAATCTGAGGTTCACCAACGGGGTAATTACTGACATGGAGTGTCCACGTGAAGTTTAGCTTTTGCTGATGCGTACGTACTCTCAGATTCTCGCCACTGATCTGCAATTCTCTGTTGCAGCGTCTGCACACTGGTGATGCATATTCTCGCGGATTGAAGCATAACAAACACGACCCCTCTAAAAGAAAGCAGAGACTCCCCGACCTTTGGCTGAATTGCTTGACTGAAGAGCAGCTCTGCCAAGCCTAGTGTGCAACATTGCGCAACTTGTGTTGCCGTTTTCACCTTGCTGTGCTTTCTTCGTGCTGCCTTGGCGATGCTGGAAGAAGAATTGGAGGAGGCCAATTTTGCGATTTGTGGATGCTTGCCTTCTCCCCAATTGCAGCAGGTTCGCGTGCAGGTTTACCTGCTCTCCATCTTCTTTCCGTTTCCCTTCCATTTGGCCTTGGTGATAACAGGTTGGCGAAGCACTGAAACTCCGCGAAAATGCCATTGGAAACGTTCTGCGGATGTCAAGGCGACGAGTGGTCTTATGGAGCGCAAGGCGTGTGCCATAACCCACCCGGCGAAGATCCTGTGGCTTGGCGTTGGTACAACAGTAGTGGAATTTGCGTGTTATGCTGATGGCATGGTGCCATGTTATGTCATGTTTCAGTCCGTGCTCATGGGGCTGTGGTTGTTTTGCTTGTCATGCTCTTCGTTTGGGGAAGCGTGTTGGTGGGGCATCGGGCCGATGTTGAACCATGCACGTTGTTGATTGCCAGAACTTCGGCCATCTCTTCGTATGTTCAATGCCTGTGGGGCACTGCCACGCTACTTCCTTTCTATCGGCGATGGAGGAGCCCGCTATCCCTCTTTGGCCCGTCCACTTGCTTCTTTGGCTGGCTGCGCACTGCGTGTCGCGAGGAGTTGGATTGCATGTTTGAAGGGCCTAAATACCGAGTGCTATGTTGGAACTGCCAGCATTGGGTGCGCATCTCTGTCCAGCTGTTTGCCGGGCTTGTTTATGCCGCTGTGCGTTTCCAGGTGTATGCCATGTTGGACCGGTACCGTTTCTTGATCTTCTGCATGCCAAGAGTGGTCGCTTCTTGGCGTTGTAGCATGCAGTTTGACAGGTTGGCATTGCCCCGGCCGCCGATTTGGACACACCCATTGGCGTGGGTCGTGGCCACTGTACTTATCGCATTATTCATCCACGCTATCCTTGTGTTGTGAAAACTCAGGTTTGCTTTAGTAGATGTGCCCCCAAGCGGGCAAGGAAGGACGGATGGCAACACAAAGCATGAAGGTCTTGGACTAGTACGATGTTGCCCACCTCATTTGTTAGTACTCGTAGTTGCGATTTGTGCGCGCTTTCTGACTTTCCTGCTTGAGGCGTGCTCAGCTGTGTCGCTGCATGGCACACGATGTGGCATACAAAGGCCGAAGGTCTTAGAATCATACCATGTCGTCTGCAGCTCATTTGCTTATAGTTGCGCTTGTGACACTGGAACATAATTGGGCGCTTCTTCTCCCGCGGTGCATCAAGGGTTGTTCGTCGAGCTAGTTAATATTGTTATGAGAATGACTACTATGAACATTACTACTGTTAGTGTTATTGTTATTGTTTCTGCGACTGTTATTGTGGTTGCTGTCACTTCTACCTCTACCTCCGCGGCGACTGACTGCTACTGCTCTATGGTACTCACTACCACTACTACTACTACTACTACTACTACCACTACTACTACTACTACTACTACTACTACTACTACTACCACTACTCCTGGTCCTACGCCTAATCACCGCTACTCCCCCTGCCGATCTGCTGTGACCGGGGTTTTGCCTTGCTCTTCCAACGACAGCGCATCGCCGCATGGTGTCCCGCGCCAAAGCAGCGCTGCGCGGCTTCCGCGGCGCCCTCGGCGGCTTCTTCCTGGCCGCTCTGGGGGCTCGACGATCCTTGCTGGCACACTGCAGTGTCGATTTGGCTTTGAGGAAACTTTTTGCAGGGTTTTTTCAGCTGTTCCGAGAGAAGAAGGCCGCAGAAACGAATCATGTTGCTGCATGCTGCCGCCAATCAGGCTTCCAGGTTCTTGTAATTGAAGGTCAGCCGCGGCCGCCACAGTAGCATCCATCTCGATGTAGCTCGAGCTTTCAATCTTGAATTGGGCACGGTGAAGGGTTTTGCCTTGGATTTTGAAGATTTGTCAGCCAAATTGGTAGAGTTCGGGGCACAGCAGCAAAAACCGAAAGCATAGTCCCCCTCAGTAGCATTGGCAGCGATGACCTCATGTTTCAACAATTGGCTTAACATCTCCTGCCGCACTTCCTGCCTTGAGCTCAGGATCCGCCCCGGTTGCATCAATGTATTCGGACATTTTGGGCCCCTTGGTGACTTGGCAGGGGTCGGTGTTGCATTGAGTGAAGAAGTTCGCGTGGAACGGGTGGAGCTTGCGAAGAAGAGACCACTTCACAGAACCAACTACAGGTACAGCCATATTCAAACAGGCCTGCTTTCGACCGAGAATGCTCAAACACTGAATTGAAGACGAGACAAGCAAGTAGCCCGGTTGCGAGGGCGACGACAAGTACAACGATAACACCTGCAGGAAGTACAGGCAGAGCGCATGATTACAATTGCAGTCTTTTAGCCGGACACGCATGCCACAGCGCACCTCACGAGAGCCACCACAGATCCTACACGTCACAGGTGGGGCATCAGCGCTTTGCAGACTTGCCGCCACCGGGTAAAGCCAGAGGGGGAAGATTGGAGCAGGAGCATCTTCGCTGCAGATTCGTGACTTCGGTGCTTGTAACTACTCGGGCGGAAACAGGCTGTGGGTGCAAATGTGCGGCACAACGGAGTGGCGACTGGCTGGTCGAGATTTTGCTTGAATATACATTGGTCTGAGCAACAAGAGCGTATGTATGCCGGAAAGCACCCCATGCCTCTTGCTGACTTTCATGGCCGATGACCAGTTGCCTTATGCTGAATTTCGTGGCCTGTGACCACTCTCGTTGCACCGTCAGATTACAAGCATTATAATAGGAACAAGATCATGGACCGCACGGTCTTGATGACGTGTGTGGTGAAACAGGCCCGTCGTGTTAGTGTTGGTCACTGTGATGTTCGCTTTGGCGGTGGTGTCACAGTTCAACCAGCAAGCTTTCAGTGGCTGCCGCACGCCGCTAATGATTACAGTGTCTTATCAGTAGAGGGGAGGGAATCAGGTAGCAAGATCATGAGCATGGATGAAAGGTACGGTGCCGAGCCCCGCGATGACCCCAGTGTGCAGCGCCTGGTGGCGAACGTGGATCCTCATCTGTCTCGACATCAGATGAGAATAAACGCCGTAATTCACTGATTGTTGCTGTTGATCTTCTGAGCTTACGTCGGCGCACAGCATAAATACAAATAGAGGCTTCTTGCAAGTGCTTCGCCATGTCAAGGATCCTGCCATGCGGGCCAATCCACAGCCACAGCCCTGCTCCTTGATGGCTGTGGGTAGTTTGACATTGCTGTTTTCATAATGAAGAGAGCTGTTACGGCAATCAGCCTCGGGTAAAGTTCAACAAGCATGGCCTTTGCATGGAGGTACGTGGTTGTAAGTTCACAGTCTGAAATCCTTTTGGCAGTCATTGTGTGAGGAGTATTGCCACAGTGCTACAGGCGAGTCGTAGGCGTGGCCGAAATATGAGGAACAGTGCCGGAAACAGCACCGCAAGCAACACCACATAGTGGAGCTGAGGATGAGAATTAGAATGCAAGGAAGACGAGGAGGGTATGGTGTTGATGAAGAACATGATGAACATGATCATGATCTTGATGATCGTGATCGTGATGATCATGATCATGTTGACCATGATAAGCATGACGATGATGATGTTGCTGCTGCGAGTGATGATGATAATAATAATCATGATGCGGGGGGGGCGGTGGGGGGTGCGTTGATTTTCACCGTCGGAGCGGCAGCTAGCAAGAGTGGTAGCTCTAGCAGGAGCTCTGGAACCGCCGGATTGCAAGGCTGTAAGGTATGGAAAGCTGTCTCTTTCAAAGCCAGGCTACGACTTGGTGGTGCTCGGTGTGACTGGGCCAGTATTTCAGGAAAGCATGCTTCCTTGTTCCCTGATGATCAAACAGCTTCGCCCTTCGTTTCTGGAAAGCCACCTTCTCGTTGTTGGGATATGGCCTAGCGGCAGTGCTCTCGCTGCGAATCCAAGGCAGGCGTCGCGGGTCTCATCAGCTGCCACTTGCCAGCAAGGCCTGCGATTGTTACAACTATTGCCATCGGCACTGATGTTGCAGCTGTTGGCACTGCTTCACTGCTTTCGTCATGATGCTTCTGGCGGCTTCTCGTGTAACGGTTTGTGAGCCGGCACGATGTAGGACGAGCCAACTAACATCATCTGTGCATGGCACGCTGCTGAAGATCAAGGCATTGTTGGTCGACAAATGGGTCGGAAGATCGCTATGGTTGCACCTCGCTTGGGATAGTTGGAAACCTGTTCTGTGCATTCGGTCGTTGTGGACGGCTCTTTTAGCTCCACCGTCAGTTCTCATCATCGGACTACTACAACACTGATTCTGCCGCGGAGCTTCTTGATTCCCCTTGCCGCTGCTGCTTTTGCTCGACGCTACTTGTTTTGCTTGCACTGTTGATTGTGAGTGCCAGTATTCCTGCACAACGATTCGTGATGAACCCTGGTAGTGGAAGTTGTTCAGGCCATGGCAAATACAAGTTGTGGGACAGGTCTCTGCAGAGCGGATGGGGAGCACGGGCTTGAAACACCGTGACTATGACTGCTTATTTCAACTGAGGGCTGTCAGAGCTTTTTGTTTGCTTTATCGTTGCTCATGGGGACGCCTACGAGCATTAGCTATTCAGCTATTCACACCCAGCAATTGAACAGTGGCTTTTGAAAGCAAGGCTGGCGCGATTCGTCTGTAGTGGTCAGCCAAGGAACAGCATTACATGGGCGGCGACTGTCTGAACACTGGATGCGTTCCATCCAAGGCATTGTTCAGGGTCAAAATATAACGTGTCCCCCGTAGCTGAGTCCCTGCAGTTTCCATCTCTGGGAATAGGGTGCGGTTTGGGGTTTGGAGATGTTTCGGGTTGACAGAGAACTGCTCGCTTGAGACGCTCGGAATCTTGGCTTCGCCCCTGCGCGGGGAACACCCCAAATCCCAAAATTGTCTCTCAAGTTCACGCCGTTCACGCTGGCTCTAAAAATAACCACCACCGTAGAAAGGCCTAGTCTCAAGTCTCAAAGTATCTTTCCAAGCCCGGGACCCATGCACGCGGCACATGGCTCGGTCTTCCAGGCCCTTATCGCGGCCGCGCAGGCAGCGCACAGGGTCCGAAATGCCAGCCACTTCGGTGTTACACTGAGGCCGGTACGGTACCATTAAAGTACGATCGCTGTCAGTGTCAAGAGTTGTTCCTTCGGCAGGCTGCCAAATGTTCTCTTTGTCGGTAGTGTCGGAACGCAAGTGATCCAGGAGTTTGAGACTCTGACATCTTGAAGTTGCCTGAGACTGTCGAGACGAGGTGAAGCTTAGGTCCTTGGAGGATGCACTTGGCCCTAGATCTGCGACCCATCTCCCCGAACCCCAAATCTTCCTGGGCTGCAGAGGCCTGACGTATCGTCACGGCTGCGAGAGTTCCATCCTTCAGACCTAATCAAATCTTAAGATCCAGTACATCTCACTTCAACCACCCGGACCATACCGACAGAGACATGCAGAGAGTCGGAACCCAAATCGTGCCCAGCCGAGAAACGGGAGGCCGGAGGAGGTCACTGTCGATTTCGAGGCCGCGATGGGCCTGAGCGTTGACACAGTGGTTGTAGGGGTTTTGCAGCGTATGGGTAAGAAGAATCGGTTCTTTGAAGTCACGCGTAACCATGCCATTTTTAGCACGGCCACTGAGCCTAAACCATGTGATTCGCGCAGTTCATGGCTGCGCATGTACGCGGTTTGGGACCGACACAGGATACACTTCTAATCTCGGCTATACCACCCAGATAGCTTGGAGTGAGGACGTGGCCGTGGTTTTGTTCCGAGGAGAGTGAGCATTCCACCTCGTCGCTTGGGCCTTCTTTCCGTGATGGTGTTTGCCACGAGGCTGTCATGTCGCGCATGCGACAAATTCGTGCAGAAATCTCCGAACACGACTCGGTGCACCGGTACACCGTTGATGTTGGCGTCGACGTGTTCTCTGGTCGGGCCAGGTGCGATTGCCCGGCTTTCTTGAAGCTGTCATTTGAGGATGCGCAATTGTGAGTACGACCATGTACGACGAAGGTTCACAGACAGCAATGCGCTTGTCCTTAGCGGGGGCGAGAAGCTACGCTTCAGGAAGTGCATCCTGGGGACTGGCGCTACTGCCAAGGTGCCGCCGGGTAAAAGCCGTGCTTTCTGTTCATCAGCTTTCATCACCATCAGCAGAAGCTGCGCGAACTTCAGCATGCAGCATCAATAACAACAACAGCAACGACAACGACAGCACCACCCACTACACGCCACCTCCACCCACCAGCGAGCAGACTCCAGCCACCAGAACCAGCGCCAGCGCCACCAGCACCACCAGCACCATGTGATCATCGTCATCATCATTCCCGTGCTCGATGCTGTCGCCGCTTTGGCTTTGCAGCCTTTACTGCTTCCGCCTGCCACCTGCTGCTTGTACTGCCGCTACTGCGACTGTTCTCTTGTTGGTGCAGCCAAGAGAAAAGAAAACAAACTCAGGTCCCAGAGCAGCTACAGGGCATCCCACACTTGACCAGCTCCAACCTCTGGAACTTGGGTTCTTGCCCTCCCCGGCTCATCGTCTCTTGAGCAGCTTCAATGTGCAGCTTTCGAGTTGGTTCGTTTAGTAAAGTCCTTAAGCAATTTTGCATGTGACACTTGCTTCGCGCAGAAAGCTCATTGTAAGGTCCTGGGGGCGGGAACCATCGGTGTCGAGATCGCTCAAGCGATGCAGCGACTGGGCAGCCAGGTTACCCTCGTGACCGGTCCTTCCGGCCGACTGATGCGAAAGGAGGAGCAGGGTGGCGGGTGGGGCATGTTGAGATCGCTTTCGAAAAGAACTGTGAATGGTCATCTTGTCGCATTGCTTGGAGGAGCCTGAGGCCGCCCAGGCTGTCAGAGATTCGCTGGCACGAGATGGGGTCTGTTTCTGCAGCCCGCACCTTGTGCTGAGTTGTTCCTGCTTCTGCTTTGTTAAACCATGTCATCGTTGCTCGCACGCGCTCTCCCGCTCTCTCTCTAGCTCTCGCTGTCGCTCTTTGAACGTCAAGGACGACCCTGGTCGCCATACGCAGAAGCTCCACCGCAGCTGAAGCAGATTCAGCAGATATGTACAAGGCTCCGTTCGCAACCTACGAGCTGGAGTATGAAGACGGCGACGGCGCAGTGCACCACATAGAGGCTGCAAGATTTCGGCCAGTGTCACGTAAGCACGTCCAAGAGTTGGAACTCGACACATCTATCTCAGACATAACCAAGACATCTCGCAGAGGCAGAGGCTCTCCTCAACGCAACCGGCCGCGTCGCTCGTACCACGGGCCTTGACCTTTCTGCCGCGGGAGTCCGCGGGGGCAATGATGGTCTCGAGGTCAATGCCTTGTTCCTCGATCTTACACACGAAAGCACCCAATGTCAGGCTGTGTCGATTGTGCTGTGGGTGCACTTTGCCACTCTTCTTGCTAGTAGCTGGGTCTGTGACAACACCCTCTGCCTCAGGTTGCAAACCTCCAATCCCGACGTGTTTGCTGCTGGGGATTGCCTGCCGGATGGTAGCCGCTTCACACACGCTGCCGAGTGGCAAGCTCGTGTTGCTGTGCGCAATGCGATGCTTGGGGAGGAGATCGATGCCAGGAGGAGCGGTCAAAGCTCAGTTTTGGGACGTTTTGGGAGCTTTCTTGGTCTGCCATCGTACCCAGCAGGCTGCTGGTTCCACGAGCAACGTACACGGATCCGGAGGCCGGAGATCTTCTAACAGTCTCGGTTTCGATTGGGATCGAACGTCGACACCCAGCGACCTTTAGAGATGCTTACCTGGAAAGGGCAAGTTTCCTTTGACTCAGAGCTCAGGATTTTGGAGTGCATCCGGTTCAGGTTCGGAAGCCCAACCTTTGCGCGTCAATGCATATGTTTCGGGGACAAGGATGGACAACTCGAAAGTTCTGCAAAGTCTCCAGCTCTTGGCCGTGAGACAACGAAAGTTCTCCCAAGCTTTCCTGGGAACAGGATCAAACCATAGGAAGCCCGAGGTGAGCAGGTAGAGCGAGTAACACGAGACCCGAAGATCCCAGAGCCATCTGCAGGCCGTGGCAACCTTTAGGCCCAGGCCATTGAAACTACCACGTGTGTTATTGTTCATGTTTCCCTTTACTGATAGTGGGACTGAGTTCTCGTGAAGGAGAGACGTTTACCTGTATGGTGTGAGATGTTTAAGATAGTTTAAGAGCATATTTCTTCCGAACAGTTTGCTGCAGGCTCGAAGGGCAACCTAGGCCCGAGGCCTGTAACTTTGGAAATCGATTGCTTAAACTCCAGGTGGCGTCAGTCGGGCGCTCGGCTGCACAGCTCCGTTCCACAGGTGCGCTGCGGCCGGGAGGGGAGGAGAGTTGGCTGGCGAGTTACAAAATGTTACAAATACTGATTTACATGTGTGTGTATATATATATATATGGATGTACATATGCACATATCACACAACGCACTGGACCCACATGGACCCATTAAGCAGTTCTTAATCTGCCAGTGGATGTAAGAAGGGTTCTGCATCTGAGACTTGCACAACAGATCCGGAAGACTGCTGCACATGTTGTCTAAGTATACAGTAACCTCCAAGCACCAGGCGTGGAGTTCCAGACGTTCGTGCGACAAGCAGCAGATGTCGATCGTTTTCGTTGCGAAGCCCAGCTGGAGTCTGACCAACCGGTTGTAGCTCCTCTTGCCTCCAGAGTGTAATTAGGTCGTTTTGCAGCTCGAAAGAGTCACGTCAGTCTCCATGATATGGTCTGATATGGGCCTGATTTGCGCCCCGACGATAGATGTTCTCGTGATACACCTGCGACCACTACAGTATGGCCATGAGCGCATGCTACACTGCTACACTCCGACCTGCGAAATACTTATAACAATTATAGCAGGCCATGTTCTTGCCAGTCTGCTAAGGAGGGGGTGTCGGATGGCTTTGCCAGTCTCCATGTGGGCCACGACGGGAAGATCCTAGGTGCAACCATCGTTGGCCCGAATGCTGGTGATCACATATCTGAAGTCACACTGTGTATGCAGCATGACATCACAGCAGATGAGCTCGCTGGCACCATTCATCCCTATCCTACAGCGGCCGAAGTCGTCAGACAGGCCGCACAGGCTTACGTGCGCAGCCGCATATTCCAGCCCAGCAACCAGGAGCTACTGCGGCGAATGAGCGAACCATGTGAGTTCATCCATTCCGAGCTCTCCGAGTCGGGGCTGCGCACGATTCTGCTTCAGAGTGCAATTCTCACAACTAGCTTTTGGGTTTAATAATAATTTGCTCTCTGGTTTAAGATCTTTAAGGGGGTTGCTTGTTCAAAAGCCCCATCTTCCGCAAACCGCGCGAATGCCCAGGCTCCGGCGGCCTAAAGCATTGAACGCCTGTGACGCGCTGATGGCCAAGGCCATCGGAGAAGCCGCAAGCGCCGACTCGAAGTGTCTTCTTCTGTCGCTTGGTTCACAGCCCTTGTTGCCTTGTTGCTTTACTTGTCCCTTCTTAGTTATGATACTACTTAAGTCCTTACTTTAGTTCTCCTGGTTGGTTATCTATGACCGCGATCCTTCCGGTCGCGTGTTCTTGCTATTCTTGACAGCCCTTGTTCGGAGCCGCCAGGCAAAGCTCCGACGCAGGAGCCCCTGGCAAGGCTGCCTTCTGTGCGGGCGGAGACGTCAAGGCAATGGCTACGATGCTGAAGGAGTTCGGGTTCGGCAAAAGGGGTTGACCTTCAGGCAAACACAGTGTCTTGTAGTTCTGTTGTCATATATGAGAATCATCGACTTTAAGTTATCAACGGCTCCTCAAAGATGACGTTTCTGTTGTGGGTCCAAAATGACTTTCCGATGAGTTCGAAGATGATTTTTCGAGTGCAACGATGGCCCATAGTTGCGTCGCGTAACCAGAATGAATGCCGAGCAAGATTCGTTCACATCAATCCACGAGTTGAAAACCATGACGACCAGTAGACTGGGGCTGATTTCATTACTGGAATACCGTGGCGTACATTGTGCCCGCTAATTTTGTTAGCTAGTCTTGCCAATATGACGGCTGGCAACAACCTCGCCTGTGGTAATGCTGTGAAATGGCTTGTGCAGCCAAGAGGCATGGCATCTTGATGCGGGGTTTTTGGACGTATGGCCATGGCTACAGCATGCCACAGCGGTTAGCATGTTCAGTGCCCGCTGATGATAGCATCATATCGCATCGTTGTTCTCAGCGGTTTTCTTTCCAGTCTTCGTGTTGAAGCTGTCATCGTCTTCGTCGTTATCACCTCATGACCAGCATCATCAGCGGCAGCAGTATCATCAGCATCACCAACGCCGTCGCCATCGTTGTCATCATGATCGTGATCACCATCACCATCACCATCACCATCGCCATCATCACCATCATGCCATGTGGGAGCCAAACATCATTACCACTACGTCACCTTCATCATCATGCTCGTTATCATCATGGTCCTTCTGGATGCCCTTTCTTCGTGCCCGACTTGGCCCTGCGTCCTGTCTGAGGCTCGAAGTATCTCGTGTCCGGTTCGCACAAACTCAAATGCCGCAGCTGTTGAAAGAACTCACATAGTCAAGGAAAGCCTTCGAAACCTAACAGCACATCCGCGCAGATCAAGCCAGGTTCAGTCCCTTGCAAGCTTGACCCATCAGGAGGAGCCACACAGCTCGCTCCCCAAGCTGCAGCTTGGCCATGAGTACGGGGCTGTGGCCACCCTCAGCCGCAAGAGGTGGGACGGGATCCAAAATCCTAACATTGGTTACAGGATTACTGTAAGGGCTATTGTAAGAAAATACAAGGGCTGCTCTAAGGGTTCTTATCTAGCCAAGCTGAGGGCTCTGTGACGTAGCTTGGGGCTCTGTGACATGTCACTCTAGGCCGACCGTGAATCGAGAACATTTGGCCCGAGCGTGACATCCTAAATCCCGACACCTGAGTATGCCTCTCCTTTGAGAGGCCGCGACCTCTTGTAAACTCGTTGGCTTTGGTTGCATTCCTGCCCTCAGGGTCTCTTGAACCTATTGGATGGATTTTCGTGAGTTCCTTGATGGTTAGCTGCCTAGCAGCCGCTGGTAGGTATTGAAGTAGATTTTGACCTCGTACTGACAATACCTGAATCAGGTTGTATGCATCTGTACCTTATTCATGCACTCTAGTACTCTAGTCCGTCAGCCGAGCTGATGGTAAATGCCGAGGAGATACTCAAACCAAGTCTTACACCACTCACGGAGACACCTCATCCGGCAACCAAGCTGATGCGAGCTCCGAGAGACTGAACCCCCAAGAACCGCTCAAACCCTGAGGCAGGAAGGCGTGCCGGTGATTGCCTTTATGGACGGCATTACCATGGGCTTCGGCCTGGGCTTGGCCTGTGCTGCAGAGTTCCGTGTGGTGACAGAGCGGTCGTTGCTGGCCATGCCCGAGTGCGCCATCGGCATCTCCCCGGATGTTGGCTTCAGCGCCACTGAGCATGGGCTTGCGTACGGCAGCCTTAAGCAAGCCTCAACCTCACATCTGGGTACTAAGCATGATTAACCCATGCTGACACCGTTCTTGTTTGCAGCTACGCATGTATGGAGGGATAGGTTGATGCACGCACGTATATAGACACATGGCTGTGCCTGTAAATGCAAATTAATACAACTGGATAAAAACATCTACAGGGAAATGTGTGTGTATATACATATATATATATATGTAGATATCGATATAGATATAGATATGTATGTACGTGGATGTAGATACATTTATCTAGAGAGGGAGAGAGAGAGTAGAGAGAGAGAGAGAGAGAGATGCAGACGTAGAGCGTCTCTTTTCTGGAAGTGACAGCAGCATTCCTTCAAGGCCATGGCTGCGGCTTTGCCGGTGCCGGGCCTCGGCCGATGTATGGCTTTGAGCGGCTGGCGCCTCACAGGCCCGGAGGCGCTGGCTGCAGGCTTGGCTACGCACCTGGTGCCCTGGAAGGGCCTTGGAGCCTTGAAGGAGAAGCTCCTGCGCTTAAACTGGGAAGAGGAGGCTTCGAAGCTGCAGCTGGCTCAGATACTCCGGGAAGAGAGCCTAAGCCTGGACTCGGTGGACTCCGGGCTCAATGACACGATTCTCAAGGTACTCAGCCAGACTTTCACCCCGTCCACGTCAGCGAAAGAGATCCGGGATCGGATGCGCTCAGCAGACTCGGAAGTCGATGCTGATGTCAAGAGCTGGTTGGATCAGAGGCTCTCAGGCTTCGAGAAGGGATGCCCCATGACGCAGGAGGTCGTGCAGTGTCTCATGGACCAAGCAGACCGGGAGCTTCAACTGAGGGAAGCTCCCAGGGAATCAGATCGATCCTCAGCTGCGTTCAGCTTCGAAGTCTCACAAAACAGCGTCGTTCAGAGTCCGACGGTCGATTGAGCCAAGCCGTCGGAAATTCATGATGAACCACCGATGCCCGATGACCACCTTTGGCCGAAGATCGCCTTGACCCTCGAGACAGCAGGCGTAGAGGCGATAGCCCCCCCAAACCTACCAGACCGGAATCTTACGACCAATGCGCGAGAAGTGCACCGAGAAGCCAAAGAGATATCCATCCCTGCGTCAGAGACCCCAAGATCGTGGAAAGCATCCTGAAGCATTCGCCTCAGGCCATGAGCTCCTTTGTCGCGCCTTGGAGCGGGACTATGCGACGCTCATGAGGCACCGGGCTTGGGTGCAAGAGTGTAGTTGCATGATCAGCGGACGACCACTTTGCATTGTCGCACTCCGTGACAGGCTGCTCAGAGCCGGCGACTTCTACGAAGGTGTCAGGGCAGCCCTGTTGCTCGGTCGCATATTAGGTCACGACCGAATCCGATACTCCCTCCAAGAGGGAGAAGAATGAACATGCGAGCTCCCAGCTCAGGATCGACAAAGACGGCGCTCCTCAATGGATGGCAGACCTGGACAGCCTGGATCCTTCCGAAGTTAGGAGTGCCATAGCGCCACTTCCCGCCTCGCAAAGGATCGGTTTGAGCTAGCAAAAGGACTTGCGGTGATGGTGTCCTGTGCGATTTGCTTGGGCTGAAAGAAGAAGATGGCAGTCTGTCCGTTTCCCGTGGCACCTTCCTTGCTCAGAGCCTGAGCGCTACTGCTGAGGTCAAAGCCCACAACAGCATGTGGATATGATAGGCTTGAGGGCACATCTACATGCACCGGGCCTGCTACCCACCATTGAGGGAGCAAAGACGTCGCATATAGTTTCGTCATGTTTCGTCAGAACGCTAAGGGTGAAGAATACCAGGGAATAGCTCATAGTTTTTCAATCTTCCAGTAATCGGTCATATGAGCCCGAGACGAGCAAGCATGGCGTGACAGCAGCACGGGCCATGCTCCATGGGGCAGCTGCGCGAGGCTGTCAAACGGAAAAAACCTTGAGGTCTTGAAGCGTGTGCCCGAACTCTGATTAGAGAACGTAGTCTACATGGCATAAGTGAGATCCACGTCCCTCGACTAGAGTCTCCTGGTGTTGTATGCAGCTCTCACTTTCCTTGCCTGTCATCAGTCTGCAATCTCCTGAGACCGGAGTGACAAACTTCCGTCGAGATGAGCTTGCCATCCTGCGGCACAGTCTCGAGGTCCATGTAGGTAGTGTCACAGCAAATACAGTGGAGCGTCGGATAGTGGAGACATAGTGTAGTCCCGTCATATCGAGGTTCTTGGTCAAAAGGACTCCCTGCAAGAAAAACATCACCTGAAAGACATCGGAAACTGTCCAGACAGCTTGTTTTGTGCTTAGGCCCTGCTGTTGAGGAGTGTTCGCTGGCACACAATCCAAGCCCATACTGTACTGGACAGTGGTTTTGTCGAGCTGCAGGTCAGACGACTCTATGGCTGCTTCTAGCCCTTGCCGCACCAAAGATATGCGAAGGCTTGGTGGCGGGTTGTGAGCACAACACCAAGAGTCATTTCTGAAAGAAACAAGATTGCATGTCTGAAGTTGTGCACGGTTTGACAAGCATGAAGAGACAGCAGATGCTGTGCAGGGTAGAACTGCTGTCTAGGACTGTGTCGCATGTTGTGCTTCCAATGGTTCTGGAGAATGCCCACAACCACAGCTTGATTGGACAAGGTGAACAGCACCTGCTGTGCAACAAGGGCTTCTATCAGAAGGACCCGATGGAGATGTTTCGCTTCATGCTGTCCTGTAGCACCGCTGCCGGAAGAAGTCCGGCACCACTTTGGATGACGATGACGGTATCATGGCAACAGTGATGAGCATGATGCTGCGGATGGTTATGGTTGTCATGATTTCAAAGCCGATGCGAACGACCCATGTCATGCAGAGCACACTGCTGGAGGAGCCGCTCGTCATGGACTGCCTGGGAGGCAGAGCATCTCGAGCAAGTCCATACTGTAGGATGTAGGAATCATGGGCTATGGGAGGTTTCCGACGCAGATTATACTCGTAGACAACCGACCATCATTACGCCTATTCCAATTAGTTTGGTCCCTTTACTGCTTGGAGGCTGCTCCAGAACTTCGGGGTTGAGACGTGGCAAGTTTTGATTCTATGCTGATCCGATCCTCACAGCCGTGCGCATCCATCAGACATGCCATCGAAAGCTCGGGATCAATTCCAAAGATGCCAGAACACAGCCAACTTTTGCTCCTCACAATATCTTCATCCAGTATGCGATGACAGCGACTGTGCGGAAATTCTGATCGTGCGAGCATGCACCATTCATTGTTGATAGTTGGTGGTTAGAGTTTAGAGTTGTTCAGCACCGGCACCCGCGCATCTTTTCAGGGCTCTATCAGGCTCTCGCATCTTACCCTTGTATTGGCAAGCCAAAGATCATCAGTTGAAGTCCCAGACCCAGAACATGTAAAAATACGCCAGGGAAGGGCCGGAAGTCCATGATTTTGTCGCCGCGCGCAGCGTGGGAGCCCCAAAGTGAGGGTGGTTCAGGGCAGGCGGCACAACCAGCTTTACTCAGGGAAGATAAGTAGGAACTCTGCAGCTCGCTCGCGCATGTCACGAAGGCGGCGCTCACACAATCAGCCAAACTGTCGCAGACTGCCTCTGCCGGCAGAGGAATCTGCCTTTAACCTCCAGGGATTAAATGAACTTGTGTGATCGTTGCCCCGCCTGCTGTGCCATCGCAGGAATTCCTTGCTCGTTTTGGCAACGCAGGTCACAATTTCGATGGTGATAATGACGGTCTCAAAGATGAAGATGGTTCTCACAATTATGGGTCGGTCCGGCGACTACTTGTCGGTAGCACAAGTACTTCTTTGACCTGTACACTACTTCACTACTTAGCTGAGTTATCCTTGTCATTGTTTCGGCGTCTGCGCAGGGTGCAGGGCCAGTTCACGTGGGAGGTGCAGAAAGGCACGAAGGACCTTTTTGTGGAGGCCGCCCTGCCGCAGAGAGTCTAGAATAGAACTGTTTTTGTTGACCTTAGGCACTTCAGGCACGCTCAGCGCATGCTGGTAGCACTTCGAAGCTCGTTTGCAAACTGGTTTGCGATCCACAAGCAGATATCGAGAGTTTGACGGCGTCGATGGCTGTCTGTACTTAAGTATTGTAGAGATTGATGCCTTCATGGATCACATCAGCTGCAGTCCGCACCTTGATTATAGGGTTTCAGCTGCCGACTGTTCACATCTGGGAGATCCCGACAAGAGGGTCGCTCACATAAACGCAGGCAAAATCATACTGCCGGAGGTGCTTTGTGAGCCGATGGCATCTTCCGAGGGGTCTGCCAGGTTGTGGGGAGCCCAGATATTCCTCGCGAAATTCGTTACCGTTACATCAACAGTCGATTCGTGCAACCATACCGAAGAAAAAACGTCTAGCACTGTACCGTAGCCTGTTTCCATGACCAACAGCACAGACCAAGCATGAACGAAGGACACACCGTGGAGCAAGGCAGTATCGACAACTGCCGGATTATTGCGCAGCGACAACTAGACAAATCCATGAAGGCAGAAAGTTGTAGAGTATCGTAGACTCATACTGATAGATCATTATCTTGCTGCCCGCCCGGCTGCTGACTGCATGTTGTGGTACACCGTGGCCAGGGCCAGTTTTCCGACGCCGTTCAATCCTTTGCTTTCCTCGCATTCTTGAGGCTTCTGCGTCGTAGAGAAGACATCCCGGCGGTGATGGGGTGCATCTCACACTGTTGATTCTGCGGCACGAGGATCTTTACCCAGAACAGAACTGGCGGGCTTTGGGGTTTCACCCTGGATATGCCTTTAACGCTTCGAGTGCAATGGGCCGGACCGCCGTCTGAATCCAAACAGATTGCAAGGTCTGCAGAGTGCACCGGCGAGGGCGGCGAGAATCTCTTGACTATCCTTGGCCGGAGCCTTCGGGGATGGAACGGGGGATGGGGTGGGGGGGTTTCTAGGGTTTCAGGAGTTTCCGGTACAGTATGGTAGGGGCATATTGGATGCTGCCAGTCTTCAGGTATTCGGACGTTCGTCGGATTTCGGCCTCTGTGAACTGCATAGTTCCGACATGCCTACACAACGCAGACAGGCATAGGCATAGGTATAACTTGAGATAGTAGTGTCATAGACTGTCATGCAACAATCGCAGAACCACACATAGCCAAATACTAGTTATGTAGAACGAGAGCTTTCAAAAGTTCTGGAAGTCCAAACTGACCGTCCCACTGTGTGCCGGAGGCAAAAAGTCCTCTGAAGTCCCTTCCCTCCAGCCCTCATTCATGATTCATGTCTGCAGACTGTTTTACATACTGACAAAATGCAGTGTGTGTGTGTGTGCGTTTGCTAGGCGATCGTCGTATACGACCTCAACGCAGAGAACGGAAGCAATATGAATGAATGTATACATTGACATATAAGCACGCGCACATACATACATACATCAATCCATGCATGCATGCATGCATGCATGCATGCATGCATGCATGCATGTATGTATGTATGTATGTATGTTTATATATATATATATATATATATATATACACACACATAGGCGTGTGTATGTATGTGTGTGTGTGTGTGTTTGTGTGCATGTGTGTGTGTGTGTGTTTCTCAAGTGTGCTGCTGTTAGCAATGAAAAATAATGAAAACATGGTGTCATCGTTGTTGTTCTGGTTGCTATTTGTGTTATTGTTATTGATATTTGCTAATTACTACTCCTTCAATATGCTGAACTGTCAGCAGCTGAGGTGACGACGACGACGATGGACTATTGAACCATGAGGCCACGATCCAGCCTCACCTTGAACATGCCGGCCTGATTTTAGCTAACGTGTGCCTCAATGACCATGGGGTTTTGGCAGGTTTTTGCGGGTTTAAGGCTTCCCTGGTTTGGGGATGGTGTGGGGTGGGGTGGGGGCATGAACATCATCAATATGCAAGCCATCATCACTTCGACACAAAACCCTGGTAAGAACAGTACTTTCACATCATCAACATGCCTCATCATCATCGTCACAGTGACCATCATAATACTCCGAACCAGCTGTCGACGGACCTTAATCGGTTGGCAGACGCCAAGAACAAAAACAAGAATCAAAAAAAAAGGCCGGCTGCACATTGCGAGGTAGGCATCGTCCACTGGGGCCAGGGTTTTTGCGTGCTTCGACACGCAAAACCCTGGTTGACAACAGTACGTTCTAAGCATCCAAAACGAGCCTGTTGGTCAACAAGGGCACACGACCCCACGTTTACCGCGTTTTTGCACGTCTTGCGCGCCCATGGACCGTGCTAAGACCCCATGGTCGTTAAGGCACGGGTTACCTTTGGTTTTAATTTCGCTGCCAGTGGCGACAGCATGCAGGTTGTCGGAGTTCGAGATAGAGCGTTGGATGATTGTGGAATCTAGTTTAACAGCATCAGAAGCCATTTCTTAAGATGTTGCGCCAAAAGCTCCCAGGTGCGCAAAGCTCATACCCATGGTGCTGAGTGGTCCTGGAGCAGCTCGGCTGAACCCACGATCCGAAGTGCTAGACTGAAGCAATGTCGGAAAGCTGTTCTTGTTGGCTTCTAGTTACGAGAGAAAGTTTGTACTCCGTTGTTGTTCGTCGTTCCTCTCTGATGCAGACAAAGATCGTGGGGGCCGCCACAGTGCTGCCAGCATGAATACACCCTTGGCTCCTAGGAGTCTTACTTGGTTTCCTCTTTCTGAGTACCGATCGCCTCTCCATCTGCAAAACCATCAACACTCCGACCGGTCATTTGTCGCAACTGCTCGTTGTCACTGTTGTCACTTGCGTGAGATCAGATGCTCTTCTTGTGCTTGTGTCCCGGATTCTCCATTCAGGGGCTGTGGCTACCAGTGGTAAGCTCCGCTTGTGTTGGACTGCGGTCCTGGATCGACTGGCGTGTATCTCAAGCTTGCTTAGTGAAGGTGGGTGCGAAAGTACCCGTAGCAGCGATCTGGAATGTGCCGGAATGCCCTACTCAGCGGCTCCCAACACAGCCAAAACACTGGAAGGCTTACAATCAACTCTGACCCTGTGTTACTGTGCTCCGATGGGTTTGATGAACCGTGTTGCGAGGGCCAGCGTCTCAGTCACTACTGATCACTCTTGGAGCTTTTGCATGCAAGACTGAGCCCATATCCAATCATCTTCCAACCATCCTGTGGAGCTGTTGTTCATCTGTTTTGGTGATCCCTGGGATGGTTTGGCAGGTTGGGTGTTTTTTAATCAAGTATTGCTGTAGCTGTACCAGTTTCGGCAGGCGACATCAAAGCAGTAGATGCAGTCGTCCTGAATGGTTGCTTGGCAGTGCCAAGCGTGGGAGTCAACAAGAAAACATGTCCTGTAAGCCGAACAGATGCAAAACACCCAAGCACCAGAAGGATCGGAGGTCATAGTTTCCGAGAGTAAAAGTAAGGGCTTGCAGTAAGATCGCTTGCGCCGGAGTCAACTAAGCTGATGCTCCAAGCGTCGGAGGCGGAAACCCGGAGTCGAAGAACGGCTCCTCTACCTTGCGGCCCTGGCGATATGGTTTTACGATTTGGGGCTTTTAGGGGTAGGGGGTTTGCGCGCTTGCGGTGTGTCTCGATTCTCCGTTCTGGCAAATCCCGTCAGGTAGACCAGATGCGAAAGGATTTAGAATCACAACCGCCTGCAAGGATTAGTAAATAGCATCGAAACGACAAACGGTTGAATCGCAGTAAGGGAAGTGGGGGGGGGGGGGAAGGCGCGGTGTTCATAGTAGTGATTGTACCATCAGTAAATCGTGATCTGACGCGAGCAGGTTATTTCAATGAAAGACTTCCAACAAAGAAAGGCGGTGCCGGCTTACTAATCATGCATATTTTGAGCACAAGGACTTCGCTTGGCCTGTCCGAGTTTTGAGGGCGTGAAATTCTTGGAGTACCTCGTCATACATGATCTTACCAGTAGCTCATGTGGTAACCCTTGTTTGTAATTTACAGAGAAAAAGATAGCACCTCCCAGAATATCATGAAGACAGTTGAACTTTAACCTTGAGGGCTTGGGACTTCGAAGGTCGCTCCAAACAGGAGCAACTGGAGTCCAAGCCTCTCAACTTGTGTGCGCCAAATCATGAAGCCCTAAACCCTCCCGCCGTGACGGCCGATGACTACCTGACTACCTGTTCACGCCGTCTCTGTTCCCTCCGATCAGGTAGCAGTACGGTCTCTCCTTTTCAAGTAGACCGACCGAACTTGTGAAATGCGGCGGTAAACTTGCTATGTATTGAAGCGCATCTCAATAGAAGATGCCGACGGCGATGGAGCAGCATGCGACTTCGTTGCGAACTAGAAGGCATTCGCTCGATGAGGATCCGTCGTTTCCGATGTATGCACTCCCTGTGGGAATTTTTCTGGGCTTGACCGCGCTGAGGGATCACGATGATTTGCTACGCAGCGGTGCCCTTATCGAGTTCAAGTATCACTTGGGCAACGCCTTTTTTGTGTCTCACCAGTGGACCTCTGTGGAGCATCCTGACCCTACCTTTGAGCAAGCACGTGTACTGCAGGAGGCGATTCGCAACCTGCTGTCCGGAAGGAGCAAGGCCTCCCTGCAACCAAACACGGAATTGATTTGTGGGCGAGGAGCCCAGAAGCACGTGTCCCCGGAGGCATTGAACAGAAAACCCCTCTACCTTTGGTACGACTTCTTCTGCTGTCCACAATCCAAGGGGGACGCCAGGCTCCGGGATGCCATTGACAGCATTCCTGCCTACATCGTGCGCTGCCAGTTCTTTTTCATTCTTTGCCCAGTTCTCGAACATGCGGAGGACAAAGAAATCCTGCGAATGTCGACATGGCAGACACGAGGTTGGTGTTTGGCTGAAGCCACTGTGTGGGAGCTCGCGAGCGACATAAAGTTCATGCTCAGGATTGAGAGCGCGCATCATCAAACCCTGACAGCACAGCTCGCCATGTTGTTGTCTCCACCCGGGCTTGGAGACTTCAGCATCGAAAGCGATCGTGCCCGGATCGGGGAGGTCCTCCAAGACATCATACGGAAGAAACTAGTGTCCTGCTTGCAGAGAAAGGACTGGCATGGCTACAGGTATTTGCTAAACCAACAGACGGCTCGACTCCGTGGTCTCCCAGTAGAAGCCGTTCCAGGTTTGCTTCCTCCTTTGGATGAAGGGAAACGTGCATCAACGACCGAGAGCGAGAGCCTTGTTGCAAATTTCTTGCATCAGAATGGCTTTTGTCATCTTCACGACCGGGACTCCGCCGGATGGTCGCCCATGTGCTATGCGGCAGTAGGTGGAAACGCAACACTCATTCAAGCGCTCTTGGAACAAAGGGCAAGTGCCAATGACAGCATCAAGAAAATGAAGCTTGATGCACAGTTGCCAAGGGGGATGCATGTGCTTCAGATGTGTGCAGTGATCGGCCATAACGCTGCCATGCAAGTGCTGATAGCAGCTAGGGCAGATGTGCATGCAAAGTCGGCGCAAGCGTCAACCACCAGCCTCACCGCAGCATCCGTCGCAGACAACGTGGTGGGCATTCGTATTCTGTGCGATGCTGGCGCCAGGGTCTTGGACAAGGATGGTCTTGGTTTGGATGCTTTGCGGACTGCAGCCACTGCGGGTAGAGTCAATGCGGCGCGAGAGATTCTGGCCCGAAGTCCTTCGCCAGACTGCGGATGGGCCTTGCACCTGTCCATGATGTTTGGGCAAGGCTCGGCGGAATTCGTGTCCTTGTTGGTGGATGCCAAGGCGGACGTGAACGAACAAATGGCCCCGAGCTGCACTAGCATGGTTGGCCTCCTCTTCAGGGTGGCAGGCTGGCGACATCGTTTGGGACATTCCAGATTGAGCACCCTTGGCTTTCACCATGTTGGTGCAACTCCGCTCATGATTGGAATCATTTGTGCCAGCTTCGATGCCTGTGCCGCTTTGGTTGAAGCTGGGGCACACCTGGACTTGAAGAACTCGCGAGGAAAGACAGCCGGAGACTTGGCAGCCGAGATGAGTGCTCCGGACTTCCTGATGAGCGTCTTCGAGGGCAGGGTGGAGCCATGTGTGTCGATTGCCTCAGCCTGCAGCAACAAGTCCTTCTTCTCCATTTGACATTCGAGCATGGGACCTAGCTTGTCAGCCACAAGCACCGGGGTGCGAAGCTGGAAATAAGTTTCGTGGAACTCGGTGCTCAGAGGCCTCAGGTAGTGTGATTCTTCTCCACTTCCGTGTCACTGGCTTGGCTAAAGCCAGGGGTGTTACGGTTTTCACGGGCTTTGGCCCGGCTGATTCGGACCGGTACTGCGCCTTTCGGTTCACCGAACAGGCATTTTCCTGGATGGCCAGTGTAGAGCACGGCTGTTCTGGGGATCCACGTTCGAGGAAAGACCCAGAAAGTCATTAGAAAGCGAGGAAAACACTTTTGTTGAAACGCCCGGGAGGGCCCGTGCCCACGGGATGCACGGCGCACCACACCCCTTACCCCAACTCTGTCAAAAGATGCCAGGTGGTTGCGAGTGCAAGACACTCAGTTTTGCAAAGTTGCTGTGAGCAATGTAGCCTGTGGCGATTTAGAGAATTTAGAGGTCAGAAGTCCAGTATATGTCAAACTTGCCAGATTGCCATTAAACGTCTTGGCTTCCAGCCGTCAGCGGAATTTTATTTCGTAAATGACTGAGGAACGGGACACTTCACTGTGACGTGAGCTTCTCGCTGGAGAACGACTACGCTGAAAGCTCAGTCTATGCCGAAGTGGAAACACAAACCCGAAGTGAGCGCAAAGTCGACGTCCTGTGAGTATGACAGGACAAGCATCACACGTTAAGAAGGATCCGGCTTGCTGTTATTCTTCCCTGCTGCGGTTCGTCAGAACCAAGCATAGCCAAACCACATTGCTTCGGGAAGTTTGGGAAACCCGAAACGGGAGAAGTTGAGGATTCAAAGACATTCGGCTGGTTTGGGTGCAAGGGCATCGTTACCCTTGGGCCTCGGTTTAAGACTTTCGGATCCGCTTTGCGGACGTGGAGGCGACTCACCGAGGCTAATGTAGTCGACTATTGCTTGTTTCGGGTTTGGGGTGTAGGAGTGGCTTAGGGAACAGCTGACACTAAGAGCCCAGCTGCAAACGGGAGCAGCTGCACGAGTCTACGTGCGTGTGCGAAGAACAGCCGCTTGTCGCATCTGCCCAGGTGACAAACATGGCCACGGACCTGAGATATAAGTGGTCCTGCCCCCGGAATGCCGGTTCGGCCTGGGACCTGGGGCTTTTCGTCTCTGTTGCAGGGATCTTTTTTGGTTTGGGGGAGGGGGTGTGGGGCTCATCGCTCTCACGGTGGTGCAAGGGCACAGCCCTTTTTTCACTCATCTTCCAGCGCGGGGTTTTGAAGATGTGTTATGACAGGGTCTGACCAACCAACTGAGCACAACCCTGAGCTGATCGAATGTTTCGGGTGGTCTGTATTTCAGTGCCCCATGGTCGCCCGAATCTGGGGACGTAGTGCGTGCTACTCTCGATGTCAGTTGTGTCTACTACTCGTCTCTGTTTGAATGAGGTGCAGGCAGTCATTGGGTTTGGGTTTGTCTGTTTGTCACAGGAACTCGACCATGCGCCCTGCATCTCCCTTTGCTTTGATCCTGCTAGGCTTGTCACGTCAGCTTTCCTTGTGGCTGTCAGTAGTAGCATCCAGGCATCTACCACCAGGGAAACTTCAATCCCAGGTCGGGCATTGATCCGTGCCCACAGCAGCTGAAAGGCAACGCGACCAGTCTTCCGTTCGGAGAATGGCGACGGCTTCCCAGTCGAGGGCTTCAGATCAACCCTATCAAGTTGCTGTTTCTTGTTGGTATCATCAGGCCATGCTTCTTGTTGTAAGTCAAGCTTTAGTATCTTTAGTAGTCTGTTCATGTGGCATGCGTTGTTGACGGCCTCGATTTTGCTGACTGTTCAGGAGGTGGCTTGCTCTCGAGTTGCCGTAGAGATCTTAAAGACCTCTCAGCCGGAGGGGCTACCAAGATCCAGTGGCCGCTGTAGCGTCGAGACTCCCCGTGTGGATCAGGCTGTGCCCCATGTCCTGATGACAAGCCTGGCCCTCGTTGCCGCGTTGTCTCCGCATCCTAGGGCCGAGGATTCAGTTTCGAAGTTGCCGCGTGGTGACATGCAGCATGCAGCAAGAGCTTCGCCCCCCAAGCACGGCTTGCCGACTTCACAGGAATAGTGCAGGAACTCACTGATCACGCTGCTTGCAAGGTGCCACGAGGACGATGTGGCGCAGTGCGACGGGTCGCCGTATTGGGAGCCTGACGCCCGGTGCATGCTTCAAAATTTGAAGATGTGTTGGGTCGACTGCGTGCGACAGCCACGACCCTTCCTTCCAAGCGTCTAGCCTTCATCCATACCGCGGGTGTCAAGGCAGGTTGCTCCTAATTTGCTCCTGCAGCTTTGTCGGCACCCTCTCACACCTGCTATGTCTACAGGTGCTTCCCAAAGGCGCTACTGACGAAGGCCATGCCTGGCACACGGCGACGCGTGACTTTTGTGTTGTGAGGGCTCAGTTCCGCCTGGGTGGATGGAAGGCCGTCGAAGACACTTCAGCTTCCAGTTGGGGCCTGTTCTAAGCGGGCTTCCTTCCAGAATCCAACCCGTTATAGCAGAAGCCATTCGTACGAGGCACCAGGATTTCGATCTCCTCCAGCTGATGTGGTTATCCATTCCACTGTGCTCTAAGATAAGACAGGGAATGCCTGGCTTTGGGAGCTGATTTCTTTTCCCAAGAGCTCCTGTAAGCTTACATCAACCTGGCAGTGTTATCGTATCTCGTGGCAGCCTAATGATGAATGCTCGTGTAGTATACTGTGGCTGCTGGTCTTCTTCTGAGTTGCTGGGGCTTGTTAGGGCTGACCCGGGTCTTTGTTTTGGCCTACGGACCGATGGAGCTCTGCCACCCCGCCCGCCCCCAGCAAGATCCAGCCCAGGGAGGATTCTGTTTGTAAGTAGATGTTTTTGCCTGTCTTTCAGGTGCGAAAACAGTGGACACGGACGTATATCCGCAAGAAAGCAAGCCTGCTTCTCCAGCATTCAGGCAACGACCTCCAAACCGATCTTGCCACCCGAAGGTGCTCCAGGCATCCGGCTGTGATAGTTGGCTCGGAATGGGTTGGGCCGTCCCACCTGCCAGCCCTGAATTCGGAGGTCGTTGTTTGAGGTCTGAGGCATGAAACGTTAAGATGCCTTGTTTCTTGCCCTGGTTTTGCAGCGCAAATAACTTGCGAGTCGTTTCCCAGACACTCGCTCTCGGTTGAGGATGTAGGGACATGTCAACCTTTGTCACGCAGCTGAAGTCGAGCCACTGCATGTTTGCACTCTGGGCGTACACTTTGCTCGGCGGCTTAAGCTGTTTCCAGCTGTAGTTTCTGCAAGCACAGCTTACGGCTTACGATTCTTGACGCTCCCCTTCACACGGCTCGACCGACACAGCATGCTTGCACTGTCTTCTCACCTACAGCTATTCTTCTCCACTCCTAAACTGAACCCTAGTTCCTTGCTTGGCAATGCCTTGTGTGAGTGTCGAAACCGCAGTACGGGAGAATTCGACGTGGTTCGATGCATTCATGCACTGTAGGGGCCTGAATAGTTGGTAGAAATGGACCCTGCTAGTCCCGAGATAACTTACGGTCAAAACCCCATGAAGACCCTAAAACAACCTACACCTTACTACAAAGACTAAAGCCATGTTTTAGGCGCAAAAAAGAGAGCTATGGTCTGATCTTGGCTGCTCAACGGCTCTGGGAGGGCAGCCGAGGCCCTGCAGATCATGGCGGACTCTGGCCAGCAAATCGAAACACAGGGGCCTTAATCATTAAACCAGGCTTTTAATACCAGTTTTGATGGTTTTTGAATAGTGTTCTGTAGGGTTTTAATAAGACTGGGACTTGGGGGAAGATTCTGTACTACAACCCGGTGCGGACTAGAAGGTGGTGTACGGTGAGGAACTGAAGGCACCCTGAAACTAAACAGCTTCGACATCCAAGCACCTGAAATCCGAGGTCTCTGAAGCCCTAAACTCTAAGCCCTACCAATCGCCACACCATGCATAGGAATTCCTAGACTCCGAAGCCCTGAAAGATCTTGCGATCCCAAGGATGCAAAGAAGAAGAAGCCGACCGCCCGAGCCGAAGATGCCGGGCCCACAAGGCCGACCGTCAAGAAGGACCTTCAGACTGCAACCGAGCGAAAGTGAGAGAGAGAGACAGAGAGAGAGAGAGGAGCGTAGTCCTCTCTCTCTGCTCCCGCTCCTAGCCCCTAGCGAAGCAAAGGAGCGTAGTCCTCCCTGGGTCGTGTGAGCCCGAAACGCCCTGCAAGCAAGCAACAGAGGAGCGTAGCCTGGCCTGACACATGTAATACTATGTACACCGTCAACAGACTGGCGTTCCATACGGTGGTTCGCACTCGAAAGAGAGAGAGACTCAGAGACCCCTGGTGACCGGGGACTTTACCCGTCCCTCATGCGATGGAGAAGAAGACTCAGAGAGGAGGGATTTGTTGATATTTTCTGGCCTACAGCTGGAAGGGGTTCAGAAAGATTGTTTCGAGTAGTACTTGGAGGACACACCAGCTGACCAGCACCCTTTTTCCTGCGGCTTCTCAGGTGGTGTCTAACAACAAATGTCAACAAACCATGCCCGTTAGCCCATTGAAACCCGAGCCTGATGCTACTCACGGATCCCAGCTCCATCTGCGAGGACTTTCGCCACCCGCCCAAGTTCCCTCAAATTGAGAGGCTGGCAGAGTTATCCGGATTCGTATCATGGTAGAAGGGTTTTCAGGATGTTGGCTTTGGGGCGCAGGAGTCCATCCGTTTCACCAGTTTCAGGGCTCAGCATGCCGTTGTGCCCTGACACACACCGCTGCGATGGGCATGGAAACTCGATGCTCTAATGCGGTTCAGTTTTCAGAGCATCCATGACCCAAATCTACGCGCTTGTGGCTTGCGATTTGAGTCTTCGCTGCCGAAGGACTTTGAAGTTTCGGGCGAGCGGGTTCTTGCACTTCGTGGTCTGCGCTTATGCTTCAGACTCGGGCTGGATTTCATCTTCAGACTCCTTCAGCTTCTTGTTCTTTTGCTTTGCCACCTCTGTCGCAACAAGGTGGTAGTGGTCGTGGTACTGGCAGTAGTTGTCGTAGTGGCAGGTGCAGCAGCAGGACGAGCAGTACTAGTTGTTGTCGTCGTCGTGGTATAATGGTAACGGTAGTACGACGACGACGACGAGAAAGACGACGACCATCACTACTGCATCGCCAACGACCACCAACACCAGCACCAGCACCGGCACCACCACCAGCACCGTGGGGCACCGAAGCCACGTGTGCACTTGTCATTGGAATTATCAAGCCCGCGCTAGTTTTGACGCGAGGATCGTCAATTTCATGGGAGGCCTGTGCCGGATGTGGACGTAGAGGTCATGCACTATGCGGAGGATGTCGACAGCGATTCGGACCGACGGGTCGGGTCTTGATCCATATGTATTAAAGGAGTAGTGACTAGTGACTATTTTTTGTGGACTTGCACAGCATGTCTGGAGAGCACTGCAGGACTTGGACCCAGCCTACATCTCGCCGAAGATTCGAAACAATCTGGGTGTGCCGCAAGAGGCCATCGGGTTTGGGATTGAGAGCATCCTACTTGCCGGGTGAGATTGTTGGTCCTTTTGGCTCTTTACAAGCAAGATCGCAGAATTGTTGTTTTTTCAGACGAGGTGGGTTGCCGGCATGACTTAATGAATGCTTCCGGGATTGCATCTGTCTCGTGAGCCGGCTTGCGTCGGAAGACGTTCAGTATTGCGGGCACAGCCTTCGCCAATGGTCGAGCGTGTCAGGGGAGCTTTTCTTGAGTTTCCACCTAGACCTGGCTTTGGATTCGCACGGGGAGGAATCGTCCATGGGAAGCGACACCGCTTCTGTAGGTCGTCGCCTCGAGAAGTCCTCGAGATATCACTACAGTATCTGCGCTTGCTCGGACAAAGGACGTGATTTGGTATGTCAGGTGAAGCTGCCGCCAGTCCTTCTTGAAGCAGCAGAAGAGTCGGGATACCGGCGAGGAGCCGGCTGCTTAGTGCAACACTGACGAGTACGCAGCACTGCAACAGCAAAGCAAGAACATGCAAGAACTATTGTAACTGTGACCCCTGAAACTTAAGAGAAATACGGGGTTTGTCGGGTCAGAAAGAAGTGTTTTCTGAGAAGGACCCGGCGTGTTATCGAAAGTTATCGAGCCTGGCCGCACCATGCAGAGAAGATCTGCGAAGCACTGAGGTCCGAAAGATTCGAGGTGCAGTTGAGGGGATGCAGGCCGGCAAAGGTTCCCGACTTCCCATGCAAACGGTTTTCTGTTAAGCCAATGGCTAAACCTCAAGATTCAACCTGCTGCAGGCCGCGAAGCGGGACGAGCGTCTCCGAGAGAAGCCACCGCCTATCGGCTCCGTGCAGTTCGACGAGCAGCTGCTGCGGAAGATTTTCCAGAAGATGGACCCCGAATTCTCCACGGTTCACGGAAATTCGTTTGGGCGCCCGGGTGAGAGATGATTCGGTGCGGTGATTCTATCGTATGTCTCATCCCATTTCTCATCGGTGTTGAGGGGAGGGCCGAGTTCCGACGTGGCGCATCTCGGTACTATACCGATTGCAAAATAGTGTTGTGTGGTTTTTGCTGGAACAAGCTGTCCTGCTCCAACAATCCGGACAGCCGCAACCAGGAACCATCCCTGATCGCATTTCTGCTGAGCACTTGTGAAGATAGCGCGGTTCATCGATGACGACCTGATTTGATTTTGGTTTTCTTCTCCAAGCTGTGGAGCCATTGCCACCATTCCACTCAGTTTGGTACGCAACCGTGAAGATCAGAGACAAACTTCAGTCCGATTCTCGCAGGACCTGGACAGCTGCGAGGCCAGTGATTCGGCAAATGTAAAATTGCTGTATATATGAGCAGCATGTATATTTTCGTCAAAAACATTTAAGTCTGGTTTCGGTGGGGGCAGTTTGCAGGCACGGTTCGCGCCGGAACAGAATCCACCCTCAAACCATGGGGCTTTCACTTTCGAAGTAGGATGCTGAATTGTGTAAAACAACACATGCTGTGTGCTGTGCAGGCGATCAGCAGCAAGGTCCTGCGGCATCTAATGCTTCAGATTCTCGTCCGCAGTGTGACCGTGTGACCTGTCTCATGCCGGAACACGATGCGTAGCCGGACCTTGCGGCTCTATGCATAACCCATCGTATCTCTCTCAGGATGGGCCTCGAGATTGAGCCGAACGAGCTGGAGGCCTCGGCTTCGCTTAGGTCCAAAGTACTTGTTCCAGCATCCCCCGAAGCTCCGTTTTCGGTTGATCCTGAAAGGGTGCTGGGGGAATCCTGGCACTGATTTGCTCGCCTTGTTCGGCTCTTGCAAGAGAAGATAGATAGGGTTTGCTTGGTATGAAGGACTGAGCCGAAACAGCCATACTTGCATCAGCGATGCAGTAGCCACTCTTTCCGGCAGCCTTGCGCATTTCCCTGCACACGTTCCAGACGATTGGTAAACTTAGAAAGCCGCTTCGCCTGCAAGTGGCCCTGAAGCAAGAACATCTGTCTGTGTTCCAAAATGCTGATGTGGAGACAGATGTTTCCAAGAGGCCTCAGCTGTAAGCCCACCTGCACCTCTGCTCCAAAATCTTCTCTCCTGACTCCCTCGTGGACCTGGCAGAATTTTCTGCAACCTCATGGTCGTTCGGGACTAGGTTCGTTCTAGTGGTGTCCTTGCGTGTTTTAACATACTATGTGGATGTTTTGGTCATGCAGGAATAAAATCGGGCCCACAATCGTGCCAGTGCTGTGCAAGCCCCGGAGGCCATGATCGCCTTGGTGGACATGCGCTTTGCCCTGAATGAGCGAGCTCTAATACGCCAGGCTTGGTAGCCCGTGGCATTCTCTCTTCTTGCAGAACCCCTCTCATATACCCCGGAAAGGGTATAATCTCCAATTCTGAGTATTGGAGGCCCCACTGTTGCTGCAAAATCCTCCAGCCATCAGAACCACAAGAAGGAATATCATCCAGAAATGGCATGAGAAAGCACTTCCGTCTACATGGTATTTCCAAAGCCTCAGAAAAACTGGGCGGCCCGGGCTCCAGGGTTGCCTAACCAGTCCCCTGTGCCTTGCGGAAGAAGATGGGGATATTGAGGGCTTACGCTTGAGTCTTAAGGGCTTTCGGGTTGGTGGTGGCCTTGGCTCCAATCCCCTCATATGTTCATTGTTGTAAGCACCGTCGGGTCTCCATCTAGCTAGGAGCCTCGCCAGTGCCACCCAACCACTGAATCGCTGTTGGGAAAATTTGTTTTTGCAGCCACCGCCATTCTCAACTCAGGCCCCCGATTGAACGGTCATAGAGGGCAACTGTGACAATCTTAGTCAGAGCAATGCGTTGGAGTACATTGTTCCCCAAAAAGGTTCGTCCTGCTCAGGAAAGAGACAGGCAGTGCAACCTACGAAGATTTCGCTGCAGTCTTCGGCAACCCTGCCGGATCCCCAGTTGCGAAGAAGTGGTTCTACAACTGCGACTACTGCTGCTACTACTGCTGCTGCTCCTAGTGTGGCCCTTACAACTATGCGGACTTAAGGCAACCGGTGATTTCTCCGATGATGCCTCAGCTATGGCTGCAAGCACCCTGTATTCTCACCATTGAGGCTGAAACGCTGCGGCAGATCAATGTTGAAGCTGTCAAAGCTGCGTCGCGTGGTGAAGTGAGGCAGAGGGGCTGGATAGCCTTTCACAAGGGGCAGGACGAGGGTAGAGCATCTTCGCAGAGACTTCCATCGTGACCTAGCGCTGCCATTTGCACAACCACTGCGGCCGATCAGGGAGAAGAAGCTTCTAGACCTGCGGAACCTCGACGAAGAGAGCGAAGAAGAGGAGCCCTACGACAGAGAACCGCTCAATCAAGCGAGCGGGTCAGGTATTGCCATAGCGGAAGTAGTGAGAAAAAGATAAAAGCAGCCATTAGCTGGTTAGGCATTTGCATCGGGTTTCGCTTTGAGGTTAAACAAGCTAGAGCTCAGTCCCCATCGCAGACAACAGGAGAACAACGAGGAGGGCCAGGACGATGAACTGGAGTTAGAGGATGATGGCCGCGACAATGGCTGAGTGCCCCCTTGATGTGCTTCCATCTTGTGAATAGTTCAACCATGAACAGGCACAATCTGGCACACTTTTGCTGCTTGTTGTTATTGTCAGCCTGAGGACAGCGGACCTTGTGCACCACCCTTGTAGCTTTTATGTTGCAGGAGGTGAAGGCAGAAACTCGAGTTGCAAGAGCAGCAGTGGGAGCAGAGTAGTTTCCTTGCTTCACAGTCCAACGGCACAGACGACATCCGTCACATCGGCGAAGCATTCATGGATCTTGCAGCATCGGGCGAAGCATTGTCCAAGTTTCACCACCGTGTTCACGTGCATCGTGCTCACAGCGAGAAACGGGCCGCCCACTCTTTGACTCTGGCCGGCGGGGTAGTTTAGAGAAAAGGGCTTCCCAGAGTGAGAACAAAGTAACTTCGGGCATCCAGAAGCTGGCACTCCTCCTTGTGGGACCGACTACATTCAGGTTGAACCGCCCAGATGGTTGGTGCTTGTTCTGGGCTTGAGGATTAAAAACCGAAGTGGCCAAAGCAGAGGTGATCTCCAAGTCTTGGGAGAGAGGAATGATCCGTTGATGGCCTTCGTACCAGGTCCACCGTCGACATCGATTGACAAGTCAGCCTCTGCTGACTCCGATCGGCCTTTGCCCCTTGGCTTACCCCACAATAAATGGCCTTCATAATTACCAATACTTATACTATTTTGAGGGTTCCTTAAAAGGTAATTGTAGTATAATGGGCCCTTAACTTAAACTTCTCCGCAGCTGTCCCAGCAGCTGATGATTTCCTCCCTTTCTTTCGTGTCTGGCCCTATCGTACCTGGGGCTTGTTGGTGTTGTAGAACATTCCGCTGTGTCGGCCAATGCCATCCTCCCGCCCGGATGTTTTTATTCGGTTCAGAGTGCCCGCGAGCAAGATACACCTATAGGGCACTGACAGCAGCTCCTAGGCACACCATACATACTGGAGACACTGCTGCTTATGATTCCGACCTCCGTATTGCACCTCTTAACGCCCACAGATCTGAAGCTGCCTGCAAAAAGTCCTCATCCGATCACGGGACTTTCTCCGATATGCTCCCAGGTCTTTTGAGGACATCTTGGCGGATCCTCAGCTTCGTGCAATCCTGCTCGAACCTTGGGCGGACAAGACTGCATTCTTTACGGAGAGTTTTTCAATCAAGAAGCACTGGAACGC